ACTCACAATGGCACCTTAAGTTCTAAGAAGACTGTTCTCTAAACATCTCAAAGGGATGTGAAAAAAACTGCCAAAATTAGTGCTACGACCACTGTATTTTATCAGACACAGACATACTCACAATGGCACCTTAAGTCCTAAGAAGACTGTGCTCTAAACATCTCAAAGGGATGTGAAAAAACTGCCAAAATTTGTGCTACGACCACTGTATTGTTTTATCAGAAACAGACATTCTCACAATTGCACATTAATAATTTCTAAGGAGATTGTGCTCTGAACATCACAAAAGGAAGTGAAAAACTGCAAACATTTTCTTGTCCAACTTCTTTCCCTCAGAACCCTCAGAATACCCCTCGTAAAATTACCATAGGATGAATCTTTCCAGACTTGAATGTGTCTGCGTTATTATAACGTTTATAATGCCATTAAATGTCTGCTAAGAGTTCATGTCGGCTCTCACTTGATACTGTTGATCTCATTACATCGGCATATTTTTCGGCACAAGTAATTGCTGAAACGATGAGAGAAGTAATCCGGTCAAATTGCGCCTTGTTCTAAGCCTCTAAGGCTTTGTCTTTTGCTCGAATTCTCGATGAATAAACAGAAGATCCACAGCCAGAGGCATGAAGATCGTTTAAACCCCGCATGTCCTTTGAAGGTGTTCTTGATTATTACGAACACCGCGCGCTCTCTGCTCATCGGATGATTTTCTCATCTTGATAAAGAGAGTCATTTGTTACTTTAAGGTCGTTAATCGATACAAAAGGCGTGATTTTAGAAGGGCTCAAATTTACATTAAAATAGATGCAAATTAATGAAAATGCCGCCAAAGACTCTATTAATTTATTGACAAGTTAGAAAGAAGATTACTTATAGCATGGAACGGAGTAGGTTAGGGATCAATGGAGCCCAGAGGGTCCAGAGGTATGTATGAACGACATGTTAAAAGGCAGTTAACTTCGCTTTGTGCCATACACATAAAAGGTGACAATTATGTAATAAAAACGCTTTCACGCGTCAATAACTGTCTCATCAAGTGATTTACCTTAAATGAATGATTTGGCGATATAAACAAGATTAGAAACACTTCAAATGACCCGCTAGTCTAACGAAATAAGCAGATGGAGTGAATGGAATATCACATGGATGCGTCAGCAAAGGGCATCTTGAATCCGTACTACTACAAGCTACTACCTCACACTACCCAAAGGTATACGACTGCATGCTGAGAGAAATGGAATAGTTGAAGAAAATTTAATCCTGACTACCGATAACTGTTTAGTTTTTGGCGGGAATCAAACGCGTGCAGTTAAACGTAATACGAAAATATTAAAGAGTAATCTGAAGAAAATTACTAAAGACTTAAAAAGCACGCGCTATATTGTTTATATACATTAATATATGGCGCCACAGCCAACGCCCCCAACGCATAACACGATTAATTGCATCAGTGGCGTACGCAGCATTTTAAAATAATTGGTTTAAAAGATGATGATTTATTTCACGGGTTTCTAAATACTTCCTATTTAATGTTTTGGGAATATAAGAGGAATAGTTTGCTAGATTTGTGCAGCTTTTTCTCCTAGTGAGGCCAGACAGACATAAGAGGTCTGTACACGATAAGAGTTACGTGCGGGCAACGATATCAGTATGAACCATCTAGAGAACAGATGGTGGTTGTTTTACGGTACGACACAAATCGTTTACTTCAGGTCGGCTACGCGATATACATTCTTGAAAGGATATATCTTGAAAGGGCGAAATTTTTGAATAGACTGGCAACTATGGATTCTAAGCTAGTGAATGACTATATAGTGTAAGTGTATAGTGTATTTTTTATTGGTACAAAATTTTATCACGAGGGGGTAAGGGTGGGTATGGTAAGGTTACCAGTCCTCCCGGCCTGGCACAGTCGCTAAACTCTTGCATGGGATGAATGGAAAAAAGACTAAATCACTGTATTGTAATAGAAGAAGAGTCTCACGGCTCAGTATTGACATTCTTAGTGAATTTCCATGTGTGTACTCGTCTATTAGTGGGTGATTCCCACTTTGAACCACAGCAGGTGTAGTCCTAGAACAACCACAGATAGTCATAACAACGTTAAACCAGTCTAACATTGGTGATATTTATTCCAATATAGATGTGTGTGGTATGTAAACCTTTGACTATCTTCCACGTGGTGCTCGTGCCGAATCTTAAACAATGTTTGGACCTCCTGGGGTATCGACCGCCTACATTTTAAAACAGTTGCATCCGCCTAACGGGACGATATTGGAAGATTTAGAAGAGACTACAGCCTGGGGTATCGACAGTACAAAGATGTATGTAACAAACAAGGGATAAATGTAATTAGGAAATGTCCACAATGAAGGAAGCGTTGCGGGAACACCGCGCGTCGTGTCCAGTGAAAAATAACGGGAAATAAAACGCCCGCAATGAGTTAGAAAGACGTAAAATGGCGCGAATCAAAACCACGAGGCCAAACTGAAAAAAACGTCTGTTCTTTTTAGAAAATGAAAGAAATTTGTTTGTGAACGAGAGAACAAAGAAGGGAAAACAAGATAATAGTTTTTTGACGAGAGGTCTTCATAAAGGAAACGTAAGGGAAATGGAAACGTGACGGGCAGAAAAGAGCGGGAAACCAAAGCAATTGCCGTGAGTTTGACAGATGTATCAAATTGATTCAGTGATTAAAACAATGAATGTCTGGTTCTTAAGTAACATGAATCAATCAATTCAATAGCATTCTGTAAAGCGTAGCAGTAAGAATAGGAGTAGCAATAGGAAGCTGTGGCTTTACTATCTTTTCTTTCTACTTTTATGATCTCAGATTATATTAAGAAGAAAATTAATTCATGGAGAAGAAATTTAAGAATGGCAATTCATAGGACAACATAAGTAGAATATTAACTGATTAAGGTACTGTAGAGGTTATTATTTAAAGAAAAAGTAAGTTGGATTTAAGTTTGGTTTTCAAGCAGAACAGAGTACTCCTAGAGGCTAAATAAACTGTCAAGGGTGTGTCTTACTGGGCTTATCTATTATTGATGCAGTAATTTATCACTTAGCCTAGGATGACCCTATCATAGTGTACCTAAGTACAGTACATCAGGAAGGCAAGAAGGCAACGCCTTTAATTTACAAGGCTGAAAACAGAATATTGAAACAGACCGTGTAGAACTGCGAGACATATGTGTCCAGAGCAGAATGGCTGTGGTTTAATAGCATATATAAGCTTGCAACTCACAGAAAAGTAATAAAATAAAATTCTAGACATGCAAGTGGCTGTGCTAGTCTCTAATACTGTGAATTCTTTGGAACAACAAAGATTTGTGGGGCTAAGAGCAATGGATTAACCTCATCCTCACATCATTAGCACCTTCCATTGTACTAGAAAACATAACACCAAGGATGTTTTGTTAAGCACTCGGGAAGGCTTCATTTGTTGAGAAACTAAGTCTTGCTAGGAGTCGTGTTTCATTTAAAATAGCATTTCTCGTGAATTGCATCAGTGTTGGGGTTAGTTTGTGGGCAGGGGGTTGGAACTATATTTGTTTTGAAAGGGAACAGTGTATATCCTTGAATGCCTCAAAGTAGAAAAAATTCTGTTTTCCATCAAAAAAATATTTTGAAATCTGGCTCACACTTGTTAACAGTCATACCAGTGAAATCTTTCCTTCTGTAGTGTCACAAACTATAATACAGTATATTCTGTTGTGATGAAATGGATCTAGGTCTGCCATGAAAAGCATTTCATTGTGTTGGCCTGCCATCAATCAAGGTGCAACAATAGGAGATAAATTCAAAATTTTTAGAACATGCTGCACATCGATATAGTATAAGTATATTGAAAGTAAATCAGCTCAGACCTTGTTTTAAAATCTGTTAAATTCCTAAATTTCTTAGTTTTGTTGCCTTTCACGGTTGCATTCGTATGATGAAGTAATTTATACTATACCATTAGGATAAAAGGTATAATAATGTATACACAGTATATGTACATATCCAGCTAATTTGATAGTGCACTTTTCTTTTAGTGTTTTCTCATGACCTTGTGGTCTGGTGATGACAGCTTGATAAATGGACCTAATATCATGATAAATAGAAGATACTACTCTAGCATCTGATTGGTGCATACATAGATATATATGTTGGACTTCCATTTATTTTGTCCTTGAATATTCTAATGAAGAAGTTGGTAGTAAACATGCACTGTCGGTGTCAGTGTATGTGGGAAAAAAATGAAAAGAAATCCTTTCTTTGCCCCTGTTTGCACTAAATGAAATTTGACCCTGTTTGCACTAAGGTGGAAAAAATTCTGTCATCACTTAAACTTTTGTAGTGAGAATGCAAATCATTGCCCACTAAATTTTTGTCAATTGCTGCCAAACTTCAAAGATACCATCGAGTTGCTTTGAAGGATAACCATTTTCATTATACATGACTCCTTATTTTGTGACAAACAACTCTCATTGCATTAGTCATCAACCCCCTATTTTTCATTGTAGTTAATATTGATTCGATTGACATGTGTGGTTATAGAAATATTTCAAATGTACCAAGTGCAAAGCAATGACCAAAACGAAAAAATTTGAGGAGTATTTCAAAGTTTTTACAAGAGACAAACAGATTTTTGGCTCTTGTGTGAAGAGGCCATTTTATGCTTAATTCAAGTTGTTTGAATGAAGAGCATCGTTGGATAGCTACAACATCCCTCTTTTCTACACCAACAATGGGGTAGCAAAAGAGTATGCATAACTATCCTGTAAAGGTGTCAAACATTATTATAGTAGAGAAGAGGAATATAATATGACATTGATAATATCGTACCAGCTTGTACTAAAAGATCACAATCAACTATATTTACCTTTTATAAACTAAACTAAACTGATGATAGATACTAACATGATCTTTACAGCTAGTTTGGACTGCTATTTCTATATTCTATGTGTATTATCTTGAAATCATTTAAAAAGGAAAAGCTTAATGGTACTTACAGTCATTAATAGGTCTTGAGCAAAGTTATCAGTGTCTGAGTCCCATAAGCATCGACAGCCAACACTAGAAAAATGGGGATGAATTGAAATTTAACATCAACCATTAAGCCTTTGATGTTTTTAAAGGGTTATCAACCTGCATCAACAATAAATTCACTTCCAGGAACACAGACCCGAGCCTTTTCTTGGTACCACCCACTGACAAATATTATAATAATATGGATGATGGGAAATGGCATGTGATCTCAGCCATCTAATCTATCTGGTTTGAAAAGATGCTTATAGCTTGTAAAGGAATTCAAAAGGAATATTCCAATAATTGCTGAATGCGTCTAACATGGGTACAGATAATTAAGTTAAGGTGGCTGACTACTTTGGTAAATAATAAACAGAAAATTGAAAATTGAAACTCTTAACCTGAAATTTAATGCTGATTTCAAAAATGCAAAGAAAAATGGGATATCCCGAGCTTGTTTTTGAGATAATCACTCCAGAATGACAAGTGTTTGTACAATTTTTGAAGAAAAATATCGAAAATCAAGCTCTGTACAAAAAAATCATAAAACCGAAACTAAGGAAGAAACATGAGTAATTTTCTCCGAACACGTAACTCACACTACATTTATAAAATAGTGATAAAAGTTGTTTTAATAAACTATTGTAAGCAATGGAAAAACTTTTTTTTTGTTCAGGTTCTATGTTGTGCAAGCCATTATTGTAAAAATTGGGCTCAAAACAAACAGAATTATTTTTTACATTGTTCTGATGTAAAACAGAATTATTGTCTTAAACTTTGAAAAATAATGGGATATTACCTGTTATTCTGGAAAATAACAAAAAAAACAGTCCCGTGCAAAATTTGAGGGTTTTGCCCTCTTGAAGTTCAAAACATGTGTGGTTCTTCAATAAAGTCGTGAAGATTATTCAGTGGTTTTTGAGTGCACACATTGTGGGCTCAAATCGAATGTTGAAAGTTAGTCAGCCACCTTAATCAAGTTTAACATGTAACAATATATTTATGTAATGATGGGAATTAGAAAAAAAAAAAGCTGAAAAATTCAGATGATATCATGAAAAAACTTACTTGACTCCCTCTCCTCTCTGTTCACCAATCACAACTTGTACAACAAATTTATATCTATCAAGCTCAAGCTCTGAAAAATATAGAAACATTTTGCCACAGATTATCTACCAAGAGTAAGTATTGACTGAGAAAAATTCATATTATTTTTACATTCAAGTACTCCTTTTTTTTTTTTTTTCATTTTTTTCATTCTGCCTTACTTTCTTTCCTTCATTCACATAATCTTTTTCCTTACTTACTGTTATTCTTCCTTCTTTGTTATAGAATTCATTTTTCTCTTTCTTCTCTTTCATCTATTCATTTTCTCCTTCTTTTTACTTTCTTTTCTCATTTTTTGAATACCAAATATCAACCCTAGAAGGGACCTTTACCTTTCAATTTTACCAACAGTGCATCACTAACTAATTTAGGCCAGTCTTTTGAATCTTCAGGGTCGTATTTTTTATTTCCAATTTCTTCATTCAGAACATCGTGTATCAGAGTTTTTACAGCTGCAGGTCTAAATCTTATTGGAAAAAAAGACTTGAGCTGAGTTTATCGTGAAGGAAAGTAAAGCTACAAAGTTGAGTAGAGCGAAAAATTATACGCTTTGAGAAAAACGATATAACAAGACCCAAAACCCGAGGAAATTTGACTTACTTTTGCTTAAAGTTCGGCCGTATAGCATAAGAGTTTGCTAAGTCTTCGGACATGTTCTGATACGAAGGAATTCTCTTTTAATTTTCCTCCTATTTATCTTGTTTTTGTTGCCCCACGGTTTCAAAATGGCCGCCACCGATGTTTGATGGTAACCAAAGCGACCATGCATCGCAAGGGATCTTGGATAATAAGTTGGGACCCCTGTGGTATTTTTCCTTTAGCCTTTTAGGGGGGGGGGGGGGGGGGGGGGGGGGGGGGGGGGGGGCTGCCTTTTAGAGTGCAAACAATTAATCCGTGAAACACTAATTACTAAATAGTACAAAATAGTGCTAATTAAACAATAGAAAACAATGGAATTTGCATGAAATTGTGCTATTTAGTATTACTAAAGTTTCATGGTTATATTGTTTGCACTCTATTTTCATTTCTTTCCATTTTTTAATTATAAACAAAAATCTATTTAGTGAATAATTCAATAAAAGCACATTAAGGAATTATAAATTTTATTTTGGCTGTTTTAATTTCTGGTTGAATCGTTGGAGTGTAGTTCTACAAACTGGTTTTGCTTGAAGAGTTAGTGCTGATGCTGTTAAGACCTAAAACAGCAAAAATCGGTAAAACTGTTAAAAAAAGCAAAGAAATCTTTTAAGGCTTAAATAATTAACTGTTTCAAAGCAAGAAAAGCACAGCTTTTACCTCAACTTCTATGTAATCTCCAGGTTTTATTTCAACCTCTGGTGCAAGTGTTTCCTCGCATGTAACCATGGTAACAGGGAAAATAACTTTTGTGTTGCCATCATTACGTCCAACAAAGTGTTGTTGACTTTTCTTACTTGTCTAATTACAATGAAAGAAAATCTTAAAGGTTGCAAAACTTGCATTGGTAGTGTGAAAAGTGTGCGCACTGACAAGTTTGTGTGCAGAAAAATATAAGAAAGCAACAGGAAAGCAAGAGGGCAGAAGGGAAGTAGGGTGGGTTAGAAGGATAAGAAAAAAGAGAAAGCAAGCAAGGAAAAGAGGAACAGGATAGGAGAAAAAAGGAAGTAACAAAAGGTAAAAATGTTTATAGTCAATTTGACTTCTTGAGGCTTACCCCTTCAACAAGGACTAGCTGTCTAGTACCAATGTGTCTAATATTCTGCTCCTTGGCTATTGAGTAAAATGTGTCAATCAATTCTTGTAGTCTTCGAGACTTCACTTCTTGAGGTACGTTGTCTTGAAGCCGATGATACGCACGTGTTTTCTGAAACACAGTTTTGCAATAAGTCATTAAGGGTTAGTTTACGTGTCCCATTTAATTGTAGAAAAATTATCAATTGAAATAATGGCCCACATTTGGTTTCTACTAGTGATAAATACTGGCAAAAACCCTTTTTTAAACTAAAGTGTTTAACTGTTGGTGGATGGTCAGACAAGAAACAAATTGTTTTTTCAAATCCAAGATCCAAAATATGTTTTCCAATTTATGAAAAAAAATTAATATTGATTTTTTTTGCAACATTTTAACATAAAACTACTATTTATGAACATTAAAATAAAAAATCTATAGGATAGAAGCTGCATATTTGGTGTAAAAAACTTGTTTCGATCCACCATCCATTTAACTGAAGTCCAGTCCAGTCCATTCATGCACGGTTCCATATTTTCCAAAATAAAAAAAACTCTTGAAATTCAGAATTTAGACACATAAATCAAATTCTAGAGGTTGGGCATGTTTTTACTATACATTAAGATTGTCTATACCCTTTCAAAATCTGAATGTTCAATGAAAAATGTTTTGTGATTTATGACTCAGTCCCTCTTATCCAGTCTGGTCCAATCCCTCAAGTACTAGAACTTTGAAATGGGTGCGGTCGTATTTGATGGGGGTTTCAAACTACTACACATGGTACAAATAGGAAACCCTGGTTGATCGATGAGCTCATAAATAATTAATGAGCATAATATACAAAAATCAAAAGTGTCGCAAAAACTTTATGTACTAAGGTAGCCAACTTATAAATGAGTGTGGTATTTTTGGAATTAGAAAATGGGACTATTCACTATATATGTAGTTTTATTTTTGTAATCACAAGAAAATGAATGTTTATAAAACATGTGCAGATGCAAGGACCACCCTTAAATGTGGGGGGATAAGATTGGGAAATATGAGAGAAGTATAGGAAAAAGTGGGGACTATGCTTGGAAAATATAAGAGATTAATATGGGAAAGGTGAAAAGTGGGGGGGGGGGGGGGGGGGGGGGGGGGGGGAGGGAGGGGTGAGTATAGTTTTAATCCCAGCCCCCCGTCTCAGCAGTCCCCGAGATGACCAGCAATGTTTTGAATACCTCTCTCATGCTATAGGCAAAAAGATATGCCATATCGTATCTCACAGTTCTCAGTAAGGACAAACTTTCTTGGTGTTGAGATTCAGTTTCACCACAAAATCCTGCTATGAAATCGCTGGATAAAGACACACCTTTCATGGAAGATACAGAAAAAAAATGAATCATGTATAATAGAATAGACACATGCACTACACAGTAGGTGTGGGGAGCTACCTTACTTAGTTTACTTATTTATTATCCTGCACTGTTTGGGACATGTTGCGTCAGTTGTGGGTCTAAAGAAAGTCGGGACTTAAGTAGCCCCTTAATCCTTCCCCCACTGTATCATTCCCGGGTCCCATCTTCAATACATATAAAATATTTACCAGGTATTGTGTTTCTGATGTTATCAACTAGCTCTAGATAGGCCTCTCGAGTGTACCTTCAACAGCAATAGCAACAGCAAACAAAAAACAAAAAAAAACATTATTAATTTAGTGCAATCAGACTGTACGACTTAGAGAATCAAGGGTTTTTTTAACATAAGTGTTTTAGGATGTTCATACCCCCTTCTCATAGACTCCAAGACCTCTGTGCTGCCACTCTGAGCAGGAAGATGGATTTGATTGCACACATTGGGACGTTCTTTGATCAACTCTAGGAGCTACAAGAACAATAATATCGATATGTTCAAGTAAACCACTGGCTGTCTAATGTGACATACCAGAGATGTGTCTGCATAAAGATATAAAAAGTCTTTGTGCTGATAGTTGTAGAGTAGTCGAGATGCAATATACACACTCCTAAATTCATTTCTCTACAGCTTTCAGCTTGTTCATATTTCAGTAAGGAGACACACATGCATATTTTTATTGTTTTATTTAAAAGACTGTAAATCCTTATCACCACATCTGTACCTTGTCAGGGAAATCCTTGGGATGAGGAGAAGTGAATCTTATTCGAAGCTCAGGGGAAATCTGTAAGAATCAATAAAGAATTAGTCTTAATTTCAAGCACATATTTTTTCTACTCATTCAATTCCACTCAACTTATATTTCTTACTTGTGAAACTCTATCAACAAGGTCTGTGAATGTTGTGCCACTTTTCACGTTCTTATATATAGTTGTAAAACCCTTGCTTCTTTGATATGCACTAGTGTCACTGCTGTAATCACCTGAGGCATCTCTGTAGCTGTTTACATTCTGCCCTAGTAAAGTCACCTCTTTTACTCCCTAACAAAGACAAAAAACAATTTAATGATGTAAAAATCTAAGAGGGCTTTTTCATATTTCAGTGTTGCTGGGCATGCATAGAACGTTACAACAACTGAGAATGTGTAGTTCCAGAAAATATCCATACCCACCCCACAGAGGAATTTGGAATTTCCGAAGAGTGGGGGGGTCAGAGAAAAAACAAAAGTCACAGATTTGTATGGAAGAAAATTGGAATTTCCAGGGGGTAGGGGGTGTCTTTAAAAAATTCCTCCGTGAGGTAGGTATGGATAATTTTTGGAACTACACAATAGAATTTCAATTGAACAACGTCCCAAAATAAAACAAATTAAAATTAGAATCAGGGATGTGGGAGCATGTGAGGGTAGCACTGGGGATAGAATACCTAAAAGCACAGTACACATGGCTAGTTCATGTCTGAGAGAATAACTATATTACATGGCATTACTGAAAATACAAATGTTTTCTGCTAGGAGTATTACCTGATCTATCAAGTGTTTTACTTCATCGACAATAGAAGCAATAGGTCTACTTCTCTCTCTACCACGTGTGAATGGCACAATGCAGTATGTGCACATGTTGTTGCAGCCACGCATTATGGATCTGTCAATTCAAATTATGAGAACAAATTTATATAAGAGCAATAACTCTATCAATAACTGGCTTTCAAACACTAAATACGCCAAAACCTCCCATGGTGTAGCTGTTGCATGCAACATTGCTGGCAGTCTAGGTTTTGAGGAATGTCAGTACATGGCAACTTTTTCTACAATAGAACTAATGAACTTAAAGGAATTATATTACCAATACATAAGGTGCAACACTGCAGAAAAGAGTTCAAACATGTATAGCAATGACAATGTCTACTTTAAAACTTACACAAAGGCTGAATGAGAGTCCTTGTTCAGTCTAACTGGAGTTACATCGGCATATGTCTCATCAAGAGAAAGCATTACATTGACTACATGAAAAGACAACAACATAAAGCAATGAAATATAACAAAAATAATAATTTTTTACCCATTATTAAAAATAACTGCTTTAAATATTGTTTTCTATTTGTTGATTTTGCATACTTTAAGGCTAATGTATGCTTTATTAAAGCATATACTTATGAAAGCAGGGAGAATGCATGCCTTCATGTCAATGATCCCTCATATCGAAAAAAATAACTGAAATTCCATATTGGTGTTTCATCAAAAGAAATTTTAAAAACTTGTTTGCAGTATTCTGGAGCACTTGGAAATTTGAATGGGGTGGGGGGGGGGTACTCCCCTATATTCACTATATGGGTACGTGCCGCCAAACAGGGTATGGTTTGCAGCGGCTCTACTCTGGAACAGGATATGTAAAATCACGATTGCTCTGGAACAGGGTATCTATTTTCGCACTACCAGAAAAGTTTATGGTTATCAGCGATCTTGCTCTGGAACAGGGTATGAATTTCAGCGATTTTACTCTGGAACAGGGTCAGGGTTCAGAGGGCTCAGCGGCACATCCCTACCCTAAACGGGCAAGAAAACCCCCCCAGGGAAATTTGCAGAACAGATTAGAAGTATTGAGAGGCATTACATCGACCCCTCCTCTATCACTTCTGTTGTGTTCTAGATCCCAACTTGCTTTATAATTGCACACATACTATTCTATATGTGTATGGTTTCTAATATTTGGGCATATTCTAGGTACCTGCAGCTTGTCCAGTTTGTGCTTCAGCCAGCAATCTTGGTAAGTCCCTGTAAGAATCTGAGATAATAACAAAGAACTGAACAAGGTATTCTGGTATATTTAAGATAATTTGCAATACATATATAAAATGAAATCAGGATGTAATACATACTCATATTACTGAGTGTCATTACACCATACCTGGGCCAGCAACGATGTCAACTAGTTTATCTTCATCTAAGAGCCTTGTCTTTAATCTCTCAGCCATACATCCTGATAAACCAGATATAAATAGTGAGAAAAGATGATATTGAAATGCTGTAAATTTATGTTAATGTTGGGGACAATGATTAAATGATTTAATATTAATAATAAAGCTGATGATATTAATGGTGATAGTGGTGACAATAATGTAAGATGGTGACAAAAAGATATAACTAGCTAAAAACTAGTGTGAGCTGCGTCGGTGTTTCTAATGAAACAGTAATGATGAAAAGGTAAATTATACACCGTGAAAAGATGAAAAAAGATGGTGACAGGGATACTGATCAGCTGATGGTGATGATGTTGGTGCATTTGAARATTTTGGTGATCAAATAATGTAACATGATGATGATGATGATGCTGATGAGGATGATTATGATGATATTGATGATGATACTGATGATGAATGCTGCTGCTGCTGCTGCTGCTGATAAGGGCTATGAATGAAACCTGCTGTACTTAAAACTGCTAACTTAAAACATGGGCATGAGACATTAATGACTACATATCAAATACGCCACATGAAATGACTTTCGATGAAAAAAATTTTTATTATTATTATTATTATTATTATTGTTATTATCATTTTTCTATTATATCAAATTCCTCTTACCTAAAATTCCAATCTTTAGTTGAGGAAGGTGTTTTTGTCTTTTGAGTTTCGTGTGTTTGAGGTGCTTTAATCTATTCCATATTTTGTTTTCTGCATTTTCTCTGCATTGACATGAGTAGAAAAGATAATTTGACCATATTTGTACATTGCCATATTACCATATTGCTATTATCATGGGTTTGTTACACTGGGACAGCAGTGGGACCACAGAGCTATTGGGGCTGAGGGGCTATAGCCACACCACTAATTTTGCCACCATTTCTGATTTATTTGCTTCTTTTCTATTTGATAGTGTAATTTGGTATTTGGAAGCGATTTCTCAAATATTAGCTCCCCCCCCTCCAAAAAAAAAAAAAAAAAAGAAATCAAAAACTTGCTCTGCAGTCCCTGATATAACAAAATTATAGCTCCAATGAACTCTCACCTGATAGAACAAGTCATTAGTAAAATCACATCTGCCTATTGAGAAATGAGGGAATACAACACAACATATAAATAGAATAATGTACTAATATATTATGTCTATCTGACATAGGCAGTGTTATGCTCAGAGACTCCGGAGCTAGAGGCTTTTGAGTAGACTGCTTGATGCCAGATCAAACTGGTATTCAGGAGTTTGTTTTTGAGGAGGGAGGAAAACTGGAGAAGTTTAGTGTAGAACTTTAGAGAGACAACAAACAATGGTTCCCAAGCAACTCTACTCGTATATGACACATATTTCAGAACCCAGGTTGCATTGATGAGCTCACCACTACCCAACCCATTTATCACTTCATTCTTTTTTCAAACCATCCTTGCAACCATCCAGCTTTTCTTGTTTTTTATTAATCTATTATAAGTTTAACACAAACAAGTTTACCTGGCTAATGTCTGTTGCTTTTCTAAATCCTTTTTCAAGTAAAAATGCCAAAGCAATCTCTGTATCATTCACATTCATCTGACAGCCATATGTCTCAAAATAAACTGGGAGTTGCAAATAAAAATTAATAAGAGTGCAAAGATGTACATTTTGATACAATCTTAACAATCTTATGATGTTTCCTTCTCATTTCCCTCTTTGGATTTCCCTGCATCCCATTCTACCATCCACCCATTCATTCATTTTTCTATTTTTTTTTTTATTATCTCCTCTCTTTTTTCCATTAATTCATTTTTCTTCTTTTATTTTATTCAAACTTTACACCACTCAGGTATATATTTAAATATGATAGATTATTTGTGGACTAGTTCCTATTTCATTTACCGATAGTATTAGAGTACAAACACTAAAAGTGTGCAACACTTTGCACTATTTAGTAGTAAATAGTGCTAATTAAACAATAGAAAATAATAGGATTAGCATAATTTAGCAGTATTTAGTGGTATTTATGTTACACACTTATAGTGTTTGTACTCTAACTATTTTAATAAAATTAACTCTATTTATTTATTATAATAAAATTAACTCTATCTACTATGATTTACCAACTTATACCTTTCCTTCCATATCCACGAAATTCTTCTTCCCTCAAATAAGGAATCTTCTCTCCGCTTCCTATTTTTCCATTCTGTCCAGAAGGTCGTCCAGAAAGCATAAAATCTTGCAATGTCAAGTCTGTAGAAGTTATTCTAGCAGCATTTGGTATGATTTGACCTGCAGCTTTCTTGTACTGCCTATAGTGGAAGCCTTTTAGCTTCTGAATAAGATRTAAAGTCCTTTGTGACGGATATATTTGCCCGTGAAGAAAATCATTTATCGCTGCCTTGAAAACACAACTCAAAGCCGCCGCCATTTTGGATAAAAATAATAAGGGTATGTAATGGGCCTCCTGTGTTATAGATAAGCACAGGAACCCCAACAATTTTTCTGACTATCAGTAAAAACCTCGAACATTCTAAGGAATATGACATATCAAAGCTAGTTGCAATTTAAAAGTTCTATTAGCATTTTTTTCATAACATTGTATGGATGCATCTACCATAAATTGGGGCCTAGCCGGGGGAGGGGGAGGGGTCTATCAACCCCCCTCCGAGCTAGCTGCACCTCCCTCCTACACCTTACCCCTCCTTACCCCTCAAAAAAGCAGCATAGCAATGTTTGGGCCGATATTTTCATCTTACAAAATCTAACCACTTAGTCTACTCCTTCTGACTAATGCGCCGACCACACTAATCCGTTTTCGAATTAGTTGACAGAGCCTCACAGTTCTATATTTAACTTCAAAGGAATTTCGCTATAGTGCCGATACGAATGGACGCAGGAGAATGAATTGAGGGGAAAATTAATTTTGCTGTGTTTACTTTTTCTTTTAACGTAGATTTACTAAGGTCGCATTATCCAAAATTACCACTAATATACTATAAGATAACCACGCTCAAAAATATCAACAGAGACAAATGAACAAAGCTGTTTATCAGCATAGTTTATTAAAACTTCGCTCCATTTTCGCGTTTGAACTAACATTCCTCTTTTCTTCAGTTATTGAAATCCTGTCATGCTTCAAGTGCGAGTGTGTTTATAGTTGGGTGGCCTGTATGAATGGTGTTATTCAAAATAACTATGATCTGAGCGAATCACTAACGTGGAATAGAAAAGCTTAGTTCCGGTAGAGGGCTTCCAAACAATAACAACATGATATATTAGAATTGCAAATGTTTGATAACGGGTCTGTAATAAAAACGCTTTCTGCTTCATTTCCGCTCAATTTTTTTAAGGTCTATCGAATATTTCTCTTTAAACACTGAGCTATCTTTCTTAGCTGTGTCAGTTGTAGCAAAATGGCGAAAGTACACTACGAAACTAAGCAATCGTTTGCCTATCGTCAGGACTTGAGCGGTTCTGTAGAATTTTTAGAGAATATACATGGATCAAACGAAGCATTACAAAAGAACGAAGGTGAAAGCGTTCAGCTAATACAACCAGGTCAAAAGGTAGTTACTCGAGAAAGAAAATCCACTTACATTCCGATGGGGCTTGAGATCTTACAGGACGTGGAAGAGTTTGTTATTAAACAAAATTACGAATCTGAAGGTGAGGCTTCAAATCACTTCTGTAAAAAACCACTCTTAATTGATTTATGCTGGCAAGAGAATATATTGAAAATCACTTACACATTTTCACGGGCTCTGAGAAATTTGGCAGTGAGTGAAATAATTATTCCTTGAATCATACTAAAAGAACCAAAATTCGAGAATTCGATCTCCTTATTTTCATCAACAGATTTATAAAATTCTGAATGTAAATGTGAATATGAACTCATATAATATAACAGACCTCAAGCTGCGCGCTTATCCAAATTTAAGAAACTCGACGGGCCAAGATACAATAAAAGGAGCTTTATAACTGAGATTTTTCGATAAGATTTAATGGAATAACTATAGAATACACCGCCAAAGCCTTCCCCAATCCTAACCTTAAACCTAACCCCAAGATAAACGATTGCTTATTTCTACAACGAACGCGTAGGCGCGTAGGCTGCCTACTATAATACTTTTCCTCGTGGGATTTATGAACTCGATTATTCTCTTCTTTAAATATAAAACTGGCTTTTCGATTTAACAGAATTTGCAAATTTCAGTTTTGTGGCCCGTAAAGATGGGATGCGCACGCAACCTTGGAAAACGGTCTATCTTTTTTCAATTCAGTTTTAATAGTGAGCTGCCGACAGAAATTTGCGCACGGATTAAAAGCTTAGTTTAGATATTAAGCATATTTAGTCGCTTGTCTCAGTATGAATAACGAGAGGATATAAGGCTTTTTGGCATTAAAACACCTTATAGTTTATACATTTTTATAGAATTATTGTTATTATGATCTGGCTATACAGTCAATTCAAAAAATGTTGTCGTCGACCAACTCAAGCCTACGCGACTGGGCCGAAAGGAACTCTGGGTAGTAATCATTGAAGCCGAGTTGACTACATAATATTTTATCTGACTAGTTATGCCTGGTTTACAGCACGAACCGTCGTAGGCGAGCGGGAAGTGTTGAAGGAGATGTTTTTTTAATGCCTTCATATTTTCGGAATTGTGAACTGAATCATAACTACTTTGTTTTTCTTCCCCTAAACCCGAAGACATGCATTCTATGGATTTTTTCTAGCCGTTATTATCTTATTACTAGCGGGAACAATCAATTCAGAACGAATATTTAACCGCTTCAGTGATTTTTACCCATATTCCTTTCGGTCCAGTCGCGTAGGCTTGAGCCGGTCGACGACAACGTTTTTTTTAATTGACTGTATACTGATTATGCTCGGAGCTGGTAATGCAGGTAGGATACGTACTTGTTACGTGACTTTGGCCTTGATTGATTATCCATGTGTGAAAAACGTACTTGATATACGGCCCGGTGTATTGACAAGATCGGACTTACTTGTATGATTCTTAAAACAAAAGATTTCAGGCTCAACAGTAAGAGGTGCTGTTAACTTCTCGTTGTTTTGTTTTTTAACTTTTAGCATGGTGGAACACGAGCAACTTTTCAGTGGAAAATGGCCGAGGTATAGAAATACTCGAGGTTAGGCAAGGTAAGAAATTATAAAAAATACTATTAGAATCTTGCCAACAAAAAATTATATTGCTGTAAATTTGTGAGTTAGCACTAGAAATAGCATAGCTGCGCATCATAAAAGGAATGGCTGAACTAAATGCAGCACATAGAGATGTGTGTACCCAGTACGTACTTGAGACTGGCTTAGAGACACAGCGCGAGCTTTAAGCAGTTTGAATCAGCTAAGATTGGTTTGAAAGGAGAGGAAGAGCTGGATAAAACCAGAGAACGGGCAAACTGGACCAGTTCAGCATGCATATGGCCACTGGGAATACAAACCCAGCGCCGAAGAGTTGGGAAGCAAGCATTTTAATCTCCTAAATATAATACCTTCTTGAACGCGCGCTCTTAACCACAAGAAAAACTCAGACTGCTGATTTTTTCCAATCTGTTTATAGAAAAGGCTGAGAATGGCTGCATTCAGGCATTACTTGGGAACAAACGCCAATACTACATGAAAGTCTACGTCAACGAGAATAACTGGATTATGGAGATCGATCATCCATGGTCGTTCAGTTCGCCTATATTTTGCCCTTGGAAATCCCCATCAATGATTGTGCGAATGCCGACAGGAGAGGTCCTGGGGCAAGTGAGGAATGCGTGAGTATAGATGTGTATGTAATTCTAGCGCATGCGCCGTACCAGTATATCCACTGTTCATGCAGACAATCTCGTTCGCAGGCTCTGGAGATGAATTGAGTTTGCAATTTCGTATCCAGAGTCCTAATTTCTTACTGCGCATGCTCGACGAAATTATTTTGGAGACTCGTTTTTGAGCATGCCCAGTCCAATGCAGCGGTGTGGCGATAGGAGAGGTATCCTACAATATTTACATGTAAGTGGTGATTAGAGAATCACAAAGAAAAGCCATTTCAGTTGCGATGGCATGTCGCGAATGCGTCCTAGCACTGACGCACCGTGATACGTTTACAAAAGCTAATATTTGAACCATAGCTTTTTCACAGTCATACTAAATCTTTATCCTGTTACTAGAAATTCCAAAGTACTCACTCGTTTATTTTTTCCCATTCAAGTTCAAGAGAAACGTGTGGAAGTTGTTTGCCACCCACGCAGTACTTCGAAGTATTCAACTTCGAAGGAAGAAAGACGCACACTGTCACTGGTCCCACGTGTTGTCCTTGTGAGTGCTCCAGAAATGATCCAGCTTCCTTTGAGGTCAGTTAACGTTAATTTATCTTCAATTCACTTGAAAACAGATTTCCGTGGAGTGGAAAATGTACAGAGTTGAAGCCAACCAAGTCTTGTGCCTAGCCAGCTAGGTATAACTCAGATCTGCTCAAGTTCAGTGGCTTTTGAGTCCAGTATTGTGATAAGTTTTAAGTTCTACATTCTCAAGCTAACTTATAAGAGTCCATTTTAGTGTCCCGTGACCGTCAAAATTCCACTTCTTCGAAGTCAGCGGTTAATTAACAATCTCTAAAGATATATATAATAAATTTAATTTCGTTAGAATAGGATGTAAATCGTGGCCAAAAGCCAGCGTCTGTAGTCCAAAATTGGACCCATTTTTCACAATTGTGTTTATTGTTGTCAGGCGCGCAATCCTAGTTCAGTAAAACATTTCGTATGCATCTTTGCGCAATCGCACGCGTTGATTTCGATCAGAACAAACGAACATAAAAATCAATAAAAGTCGGTCCAGTTCTTGACTAAAAAAAAGCGCCTTCGGCCTTTGCCAGTGATGTTGCAGGTCCAAAAAATATAATGCAGCGCTCGCAAACCTCAGAGGTAAACCTAACTCAGTTCATAGGATACTATCTATTCTGATCCTATAATAGTGAGCTCACAATGAACTTGACACAAAACACAACTAGAGTGATTTTCATAACTCCCGTGAAACAGATACCATTACTTAGTGTGTAATAGTGAAAAAAACAACAAGAGTACACAATGGAATTAGGGTCTACCAATTTGTATTAGGCTAGTTTGTATTTCACGGGTTTATGAAAACCACTCTAGTACTTCTTTTTCGTGCATGCAACGTAACACGCAACAACTGTTTCGCTTGCTAAATTCCTGTGCACATTTTCTTATAGTTGCTACAGGTAGATAAAGAGGATAAGCCGGCCTCACATATTGGACGGATTAACCACGAATGGCGCGGATTCCTAGGAGGGGTCTCGAGTTGCTGTGTCACAGAGGAATCTGAACGAGTGTCTATCACTTGTAAGTATAATATCATACCCCTAACTCATCTCAGTTTTTCAAACACGTACTGTTTTGCTTCCGGGGGCTATTTTGCACTCGTGATATTTTTCGAGATGCATTTCCCCGCCAATTTGGATAAAACGCCATAAGTCGGCAAGACTTAAAAAAGATTTGATGATCAGTTTTTCTATATATTTAAGAATGCGTAGGAAAAGAGGGCAAGAAAGAAAACGGTTATGAACAGACTGACTCCACAAAAGGAGTTTGTAACTGGTCACGTGATATCTACTTAGTTGAGCCACATGTCCTGAAAAAAAATTCACGCYTTAACCAGTCTTTTAATTTATATTAATTTTAGTTCCAAGAGAAAGCTCTGTTCAGGATAAAGCCCTTTTTCTTAGCTTAGGATTCCTTGCGGTAAGTATCATGGTATTGAAAAAGTTGGATTTAATTGAAAATTTTTAATCTTGGAATAGAGATATGCCAAAAACTGCTTCAATGTTGTTTATTCGCTGCAGCACCAATTAACACGTCGTACTGTTATAAATACGAGTTCTATAGTCATTTTGATTGGGCGGTATGGATTTTCCTGATGTTTTATAAAATTGGTTAAGAGTTGTAGTCATTTTGCTTTGCCTTATATCAGCAGCATTTTCGAGTATCAAGTGGTCGCATTTCTAAAGCACAAGTCGTACCTTGCAATTTTCCGTCTAGCCCGCACTCTCTCTCTCCCCACCCATCATCCAAGTTCTTTTGACCTACGAGCTTACAGTAGTCGGCAAAAGATGTTGTGGTCTCTGCCACCCATTCTTGACCGTAATTTCAAACCATCRATTTGCATATGCTTTAGTCGTTTATACACTTATTTCTTCAATGGCAAAGATAAATAAATACTCAGTTAAAGAGTGCGCGTGAGGGAATAAAGCACTGGGAAAACCGGTAAATAAATAAATAAATAAATAAACCGGTAAAAATTACCATATTAAAATGAGATTTCTTCATTTCTAATCCTATATTAAACGTTTTTTCTTTTCAGTTTTTCACATACTTCGAAGTACAGTAAATCTAAAACTTGGAGAATTTTCTACAATTCTACGACCCATCAATAATTTTCGTAATGATTTTAACCTTCATCAAAATTCACTACACTTTTAAGGAACAATTTTAGGGATACTCTATTTTTATGGGGGAGGGGGGGATCTAGAAGAGGGGCATAACATCTCCACACGGCAAATCTTTAAATGAAGGGTCGCCAGAGTATTGTAACTCAATCTAAAGTTCCACCACTGAATAAGTTTGAAAGAACACTGGGGATGCACAGAATATATATTCCTCTATGGCTGTTCTCCCCACTTCTAAAAGTGAATGCTCCCATACCTAGTACAGAGGCCTTGCACCAGGTGCGATGGAAGACATGACAGGAGGCAGGAACAATATTGACTCTGGTCCAATGTTATTTACATAAGAAAGGATTTAGTTTCCCAGGAGCAAAACACTCTACTGTGCCTTCTGTCATGGCTGCCATCACATGATGGTGCAATGTTTTTATAGGAACCTATAGAAGCACACAGAATCATGACACTTTCCATTTTAATCATTCAAATTTTTATAGCTTAGAAATCGAAATTAATCAAGAATAGACATAGATGTTCATTCTCAATGCATTTTCAGCTCTGGTTTGACAGCTGACGAGGCACTGGGAATGAGACAGCCCATGRAAAAAAGTTTATAATCATTTTCAAGTGCAAATAGACCTGACCACTGTTTTACCATGTTACACTTTGTGTCATTCCTTTGATAAGATTGTTTGTGTTACTGGTAAAGAAAGAAATAATAACAAAGGAAACCAAACATGGTAAAACTGGTCTATTACTAATTATAATAATAATTGTTATAAATCTCRTGTTCTGATTGGTTGGGAACGTGTGCTTTATGAGAGCACACAGCACACTTTCAGTTGCATTATTCCTATCTATCATAAGTTATTGTAACTTGTATTTTATAAAAGAAATAAAAAAACTTGCTTGCTGTGCTGTGTGAAGTTATAAAGCAATAACTTGGGGATTGGCAGAACACTCGAGAAGTGTTGAGAAGCACAACTGCTACATGTTATACTGCTCATTACACTTCTCTTGTGTTCTGCTAACCCAGCGTGCTTTATGACTGCACACAGCACACGAGCGCATTTTCTATTTCTTCAATATGATTTTACTTATTTTTATTATTGTATTRTATATGAGTGTGTAATTAAGGAGCACCTTTGTGGTATTTTACGAATTTGATTCTCTATAAGCCTGAAGCAAGATGACGTTTTGCCCCTGTCTCTAGACCATAATCCTTTTCACRCTGCTTTTGTTCTTTAATTATGACTATTGTTCCTGTATTCTCTAAGGAACCAAAAATTTTAATATGAAAGAATTTCAAAAACTATTATGGTATAGAGTCGGGGGTAAAACGTCATCTCGCTTCAGGCTCATTATCAATTTAGTGCACGTATGCATAATTTACTCTTATCACTATTCTATAACATGAATATTACATTAATTTTATTATACATTTGAATAAGCAGAAAGCAAAAAAAAAAAACTTTGCACTTTAAAAGCTATTTTCCTAAGTCAATATATGACTCCATATTTAATTACCCTTTTGAAAATTTTATACTTCAATTATAACAATTGTAAGTTTGATGAAAAAATTTTTCCACTGAATTTTTGAATAAAATTTTGGATAAAATTAGGCTTTTTTTCTTTGACATTTATAAAATTCAATGTGTGAATTTGAGTTTGATGTGTTATTCTCTCCTATGTGATGAGGGTTTTCTCCGAGTTCTCCGGTTTCCTCCCTCCGTAAAAATCAACATGTGAGTTGAGCGTTGTGTGCATAGAACATTGAATGTAGTGGTAGTGTGTATGAGTGAAAGGTGTCCCCAATAGTGCAAAAGCACTAGAATGACTATAGACACATTTCTTTATTTTATTTCATAAATAATCTACTTGAAGAGCATAGAATTGTTCTTGAGACAGTAAAAATAATTGCTGTCAATACCTCTGTGCTGTGCTAACAAATTGCAAGCTCTAAAAATTGATCTAAAATCATCCATAAAAATCCTACCACTGAGGATAAAAAAGTTAGTCTAAAAAGAATAGAATAATCCTTTGACAATACCAAGTACCGATTATGGAATATACAGAAAAAGCTTAGTGTTTATGACTTAGATCCTTGTTCCCACATWGCATGCATAAATATATCTGAAACCCAATCTATGTGACTCTAATTACTGTYTAATAAAYGAGCATGAGTGTTTAAACRTTTAATTCTAGAAATGCATAAAATGTTGGACAGAATAATTAAAGCTGATGATGCCTGGGCTGACCAAACAAATAGTGCAATGATTGTCTTTCAACATGGGAATGTGCTCTGACAGTATTAATCTGAGATCAGGGACTTATGTGACTCTTGCCAAACTGGAGTCCCAAGAGTTTTCACATTGGCCTGGCAACCCAACAGTGAGTCCTTGAAAGGACAAAATGATGTGTTTCCATAAATACTTAAAGGGAAACTACCTTGGATAAAAACGCCCCAATTTTTGAAAGTGATAATGAACTATGTTAAAAACTTTCTGATCTCTATATATCTCTACCTTTAACATTCCTTCATAGTGCTGTGAGTGAAAAGACTTTGGTATTACCTCTTGTTTGTGAATGTAAAAGCCATGGGGAGGATTGTGTTCTGTCATGACTGACATGGCTGGTGAATTTGGAGAGCCAACAACATACTGTAGGAGACCCTTAGCCATTATTAGCCTATCAAAATCAATGTCTTTGGAGAAAGAGGCAGAACCATAACTGGGGTGTCCATCTGAAAATGAAGCAATATATTGGCCTTGTGAACTGAATATCTTTAGGTAAATGATGTTTGAAGAGCTGTCCTTATCTGCAATGTAGTATGATCCATTGTGGAAAACAGCACGGCTGACAGGGTTGTCAAGGTGTTTTCGTCCAAACATTYTTTTGCAGCTTCTGTCATCAGCATCATAGACGATAATGCACTGGACAATTTCATCATCATCATCATCACTCTCTTCATCATCCTCACTGTCATCATCATCATCTTCAGTACGAGCTGAAGTCACAATMAGACGTCCATCCTCACAAACTGAGAGGTATGTATACTTGAGACCGGTTCTTGGGATGTCTCTTTCTTGGTTCATGAAATGATTGTCTCTGTCATAAAATAACAAACGATTATTTGCACGATTGACAACAACTATGTTGTCATCAATCGAAAAACCAACATCCCAAAGATTTCCATATCTAATGTTGATYGTATTGTACTGTGATCCATTGGCTTTGTAAAGATAAACTTTGTTATTTTCTTTCCACAACAGGGCAATATCACCACTGTGGGGACTGACGGCAATGCTAAACGGCTCAAAAGGTAAACTGGTACTTGCAACAATTTCACTTTGCGTAAAACCAGGGCGGTCAATAGGAGTGACCCAATCAGGTTCAGACGACAAAACTGGCTCGTCACTCGAAGTATGAGAAGAATGGGTGCTTTGAATGCTTTCTTTTTCTATTTCAACAAATGACGAAGATGAGCCCCATTGTAGTTCTACTCTTTCACTATTGCTACTTTCTCCAGACACCCTCTTACTCACAACCTTTCCTAATAAATTTTCYCTTGCAGTCAAATTTTTTTCAAGCTGCAGATCAAATGTAGGAATTTCTTTGTTTGCAGCCCCTATTACTGCAGGAAACTTAGAGTACTCAGCCAGTTGTTCAACCATCACTGTCTTCAAGTCTAGAATTACAGATAAGTCATCTTTCTTTAAAATGTCCTCAACACTGTACACACAGTTTGASGCCTGTTGTAAAACAGTCTCTAGCCTCTTCTTGGCTTTGTCAAGGCTGTTTTCATGAGGCAAGCCAAATTTCTGTCTCAGAAAATCGTCAATCTCTCTGCATAATTTCTGTTCGCAGTTTTTTATCTCCCCAATCGTTTCCTTTGCATATAGAGAAACTTGTGTTTTCAGTTCCTCTGCAAGCTCTTTATTTCTGTTGATGACACTACGACGTTTCTCGATCTCGTCACGTATTTTTTCATTCCTTTGTATTTCATCCTTACAAGTAGCCACAGCCTTTAGTAACTCTCGCTTTTCGTTTACACCCGGTATKTTATCAATAAGCCTGACTATGAAAGTGTTAGTAGGAAATCCTTCGGCTCCATTCGAAGGTACTTGGGATGGTTTACGACAAACTGGACAAGAAATTTCAGTATTCTTGTTTCTGATCAACAMTTCATGAATACAAATTTTACAAAAATTATGTGCACATCCAGGCAACGACTTCGGTTCTCCAAGAATCTCAAAACACAGAGGACAGGAAAATTCCTCGTTCGATATTCTCATTTGAATGCTTTTCTCGGAAGGATCCAAAGAATACGCCATGTTTCTCGTCACCTACGCACTTGTTCAAGGAGACTCGACGGTTTCTTCGTAGACTCAAAAAAAAATTCAATAAAAAGATTGAATTACTCTTAAAATAAAATTACTAACCTCACATGTTACAGCTGAGAGGTATATTTGCCAAGAYACGTTAGTTTTAAAGTAATAAGAGCTGATAAAAACAACCTTTTACCCACAAAATATACAGAACCGGATCTGATAAATTAGGGATGGCAACGCATGACAAATAGAACGCTATAGTAACCGCTGATCGAGTTCAGTTTCTTCTGGGTGTGGTCCAGGGGACATTGATAGCCTATTAGAGGACCTAGAGAGTATGGGGTAGGGGCCGGAGCTATGATTGTTATTCCCATTATTTATTTACTATTAATCTCGTTTTTTCCCCCTAACTTCATTTTTATCTTTTTTCGCTTCTTCCTGTAAATTTTYCCCTCTTTCCCTTCTGTTCCATTTTTTCACTTCATAGATTATGTGAGATTCTCATGCTTCGTAGAGGAATGCTTGCGTTTTCCAATGAAACGTTTTACCAAGTCTGCAGGCATTCCATYAATATACGCAATGGAGAGGAGCATTAAGTCACTGACTTCGACTGTACTGGTCTTSTAAAAATAATACATAAAATCAAAACCTGAATTTTAGAAATAAGCCTTTTCATAGTTTTCAATCGATTCCAGTGCACATGCGATTTTATCCCGAATTTCTCACCTTCTTTTGAATAAACCTTCTTTTGTTCTTAATTAAACAAAAAAAGGTGAGAAATTCAGGATAAAATTGCATGCGCACTGGAATCRATTCTTAAACTATGAAAAGGCTTATAGGAGCATTTGCCCCTTTCCTCCCCTCACTATAACAGTCTTATGTACAGTCAGGAGTACATGAGGAAATGAACAATACCAAGTGAGTTGTTATTTTTATTTGTTTATTTAATTGTTTTCTGAACTAAATGTAAATGACAAAATATGTTTTTCTCCGACTTTACATCTACAGAGCAATAGCCCTGACTTCCGTGATAYGCTTCACTTGTCATGCAGAAAGGTTTCAGTACAAGGCWTAGTGCTAAATTAAATTAATTCTTTTCTTGTCAAGAATCACTGARCATTATACACACTGAAGCCTTTGTGTGTGACAATTAGTGAAGCATATCTCAGAAGTGGGCTATTAATAGTACTCCTATACAGCCTAACTAAATACTTCTGTATGAAATCCCTTTTGAACTCATTAACTCAATGTTTRCCTTCAATAATAATATGCATAATATTCAGAATGCAAGTATCAAACTCATGAAACAGTTAATTACAACAGTAACAAAGTGGGAACTGAGGAGGGGTTGTGGAGGACTGGGAATAAGTTTTCTTGGTCCCCTTTCTTGAAGCACATTTCTAATATTGCAATAATTTACACAGCTCCCCCCTAAAATCCATACATAAAAATTATTGACCCAACTTCTTGCACTAGCTCTCCCACCTCCCAACAAAATCTTAATAAAGACAGCTGGCCTCTAAGATGAAACTTCCATTACAATACATAGCACAATAATATATACCTATCAACTATCTTGTTATTTAAAAAACTGAGATCTATATATAATTTTGATATTTTTCTTACAAAAATATTGAGGTAATAAATGGTGTATTGTTTCATAACATTACATTTATTTTTATCTGAAGCTAATTATTTATTGGGGGAGGCCAGGAGCAAGGGGACATAGGTCACTACCAGTCTAATCTTCCTCCATTACCCTCTTCCATCTACTCCAATTAAAAATAATTTTCCTCATTTTTGAGTGTACATCCTCATTTTTGAGCATACAGACTACGCAAAACATATCCTCAAACAGGATACTTTACAATGTTACAACATTTCTTGTTATTATATATTTCAACCAAATATGTGAACTTGCCTCTGCCGCTTGCTGACTGTGCTGCAACTTGTTTTGGGAAACCCTGAGGGCAAAAAAGCTTATTGGTGTCAGTCTTTCCTCTGGTAGCAAAACAGTCTACAATTTTGAGAAAATCCTTGGACATTGAGTTGTCCCAACAACATATGATAAATCTGTCAGACGATGGATCTCTGGATAAAGAAAAGCCTGAAGTGGGGAGAGCTGTTGGTATGCTAGGGATTTTTGAAACAAATTCCCCTTGCACAGTGAAGACCTTGAGGACTATTTCATCCGAACAACAGTCAGCCACATAATATCTTCCTTTGAAAAAGATGGCACGAGAGACTGGGTTTTGGAGGTGCTTTCTTCCAAACATTCTATCTGAGATATCACTATCAGGTTGATAAACAATCAAACATTGAACTACATCTTCATCATCATCCTCATCTGACACTTTAGCCGAGGTCACAATCAACCGTCCCATTTCATCCACAGACAGATGGGTAAACTTCAGGCAGGTTCTTGGAACTTCTACTTCTCTGTTAACAAACTGGCCTCTCTCAGTGTAAAATAGCAAGCGATTGTTAGCACGATTCACCACAATGATGTCATTGTCAATGGAAAATGCCACATCCCATAGATTTCCATGCTTAATGTGAACTGTGTTATAATGATGTCCTTCAGTGGTCAAAAGATAGACTTTTCTCCTTTCTCTACAAAGCAGTGCAATATCCCCACTCTGAGGTGATACGGCAACTGCAAAAGGATTAAATTCCAATGCTATATGTTGTGTTATTGTCCCTTTATACAGGTTGCTATTGGTCAATCCCATGGCCTTTAGGTGACGAATGTAAGCTGTAGCTTCGTCGTTTTCCTTCTGGGAATTCAAAGTATGGCAGTTCTGCTGTACACTTGCAGTTTCCACCTCTTTGGAATACAGTTGCTTCTTAAAGACTTTTCCTAGTCCATTTTCCATATTTATTTGACAATTACTGAACTCCATGTCAAATTTCTGAACCTCTCCGAGTTCTTCAAGAACAGATGGTGTGGGGATATTTATGTACTCTTTCAGCTGCGATGTCATGGCTTCTTTCTTTTCTAAGACTTCTATCCTATTTTCACTGTTCAAAGCCCTGTTCACTGCAACAACAGCAGTAGCAGCATCATTCAAATCGCCTTCCAATTTTATTTTCTCTTTCTCCAGTTTTTCAAGGGATGACAAGCCACAGTTCTGCTTTGAAAAGGCATCTACTTCCTTACATAATTCTTCTTCGTATTTCTTGATAGCCTCAACATATTTGTTAGCATGCGTAGAGATTTCCTTCTTCAGTCCCTCAGCAAGCTCTCTGTTTCTCGCAATCATGTTACACTTCGCCTCCATCTGAACATATATCTTCTTTTTCCTCTCTATCTCCTCTTTGCAGAGAACCAATCTCTTTTCTAGTTCCTTCTTTTCTTTTCTTCCAGGTATGTTGTCTATAAGCCTGACTAACAGAGTATTAGTAGCAAATCCTGCAGCGCCATTTGGAGGAATTCTAGACTTCGCACGACAAACTGGACAAGAAATCTCGCGACCACTTAGCATCACCAGCTCCTTAA